TCGCTGAATGACGGAATCAATGGGACAGAGTACTCTTGTCGAGGGCGTACCTGTGGCTCAACATAATAGCCAACATATTCCTTGGGCGAACTGGTGTCAGATGATGGAATCGACTCCGGTTGTGATAGATTTGGCTTTGTGGGCATGTCCGACGTGATCTGCGGCCTCAAGGGATCTTGCGAAGATCGTGCAATTGGATAGCCAGCAAAGCTTGCAGGATCGACGAGTTGGGGTACGGGTGGATATCCCACAATAACAGGCTGTTGTCCCGCACTGCGAGGAGGCTGCGAATGCGAGCGAAGGGAACTTGTTTCGCTCGCATTCGAAGCGCGATGCACTCCTCGGTGTACACCAGGTATGCTGTTGCTCAAAGATGGGGAAGAAGGATTGGTTCGAGACCCATCTTGGGAGCCAGTGGGATCCGATTGGGGAGCAGTGAAAAAGCCAGGATAATGGTATAGGAAACCCTGGGGAAGAGCGCTTGGCGGTATCCCACGCTCAGCCAAACGAGGACTTTGTCGACCGTTCACATAGGGCGACTTTTGCGGCGATCCATTTGTGCTGTTGGACGCTCTGCCCTGCGCTTGTGCTTGGGCAACGGCGTGAGCGTGCATCTGCGCGGCTCGCACTTGATGTGCTTGCTGAGCGTGTTGCTGAGCAGCAAGCTGAGCACGTAGAGAGTTCGACTGCATTTCCAACATCTGGTACTGTTGATACAGCTGGTCATGTAGCTGGTCGTGAATTCCTCTGGGGAAGCTGAAGTATTCTGGACCAGCGCTCGCTGGAATAGGTGGGCTATGCAAAAAGGGTGGTCGACCCTGACCGTAGTTGGAGCTGCCGGAAGATCGCCTACTCCCTCCATGCTGGCCTTTTAGGTTGAAGCCGCCTCGGCCACCTCTCGAATTCGGGCCACCTCGTCCGTTCCGGTTCGGCACGCTGGAGGTGATGATGGCTTTCTGGGACTGCGGCTTCTTAAAGATCGCGTTAGACTTCTCCTCTGGCGGATACTCGAATTGCTCGCAAGCTTTGTCGAGCTGCTGGCCATCTGCAAGGAGGTCGAAAGCGCGGCGGAGCTCCAGGTGTATGCCGCGCCATGCATAATCGTCCGCGGAGTTTCCAAGGTTTCGATCGGTATTGAAAGGCTCCTCTACACAAAGGCGGTTGACACCTTCCTTCTGGCCACCGCCAGGATGCCACCCCTTCTCCTCTCTCGGTATCCGTTTGCCTTGACGTACTGATATCGTTTCTTTCTCATAGTCAATTTCGTGACCATAGAGACGGAAGAAATGGAATAGCAACTGGCCCAAGCTTTCCTTGTTGCTATCTCCGTAGCCTCTTAATCTGTCGACGTCGTCGGCGAAACTCGATAATGAAGGCTGGCCAGTTGTCTCGTCTAGCGCTCGATCGGGAAGGTCATGCAGGGTGGGGAGGACCGGCGGATCCCGGGTCTGGAGGAAATTGATGATCAAGCATATCCATGTATACGAGCTGATTGTGCCACCAATGCCTAGCAATGTTAGTTTAGCAGGGGACGGGTATGCGACAAACTGACCAGCATCGTTGAGAATCCGGCGCTTTGTCCAGTGCTTGATTATCATAGCGAGCGGCCGAACACGATCGTCGAGCTGGATGTAGGTCTTGATCATGCGTGTATTCTCGATTGCGGCGACGTTATTCACGTTGATGTCACAGGAGATTTGCAGCTCGGGGTCCCAGACTTTTACAATCCGCACTTTGGCTGCTGGTATGCATACCACACGTTCCATGCCGTCTAGGGAGATTAGTCTGAGTCAAGCTGGATCATGGTGGCAACCTACGTTTGTCCAATGCCTCAGCCAGCGGGTGCATTTCTTCGAGCCTTTTCATGGGCGTTTGAATGCAAATGTCGACTTTCCATGTTAGTGCGGACCTTTTGATGCGAGTTGGAACATACCATCGCTTTCAGAAGTCCACAACATGTTGCCAGAGGAGCCAAACACGTGGACCATGATCTTGGTGCCTGGGAACTCGGTTTCGAGTATGCCCTGCATCTTCTTTATGAAGCGTTCTCGGATATGGGTGTCTTCCTGTTTCGGCTCTAACCGGTCGTATAGCTCTCGCATATCTCCGCTCAACTTGTCATCCTCGTGGGGATCCAGACTCTTCTTGGGCTCCTCTTTGGTTCTTTCGAGAATCTCGTCTGATTGGTAGGGCATGCGTCTCCGGCCCAGCATACCGACGTTGGTCTCGAATCTGCACTTGAATGGGCGGGCGGGTCTCAGCGTGGGCATGGTGCCGTTTGCTTCGGACGAGACGGAGCGTGGCGAATGGCTGCCCAGTCCGCCGTTTGGTGACGGAGAGCGTGAGCGCGTTGTGTATTTGCGGGCGACCTGCAGAGGCGTCGAGGGAACGGAGTTGGAGTGCTGCGAGACGATGGACGGGCGCTGGGCGCGCGTCTGGGCGCCCGCCTCTTCCCGTTTGCTGGACATATTTGGCAGACGGTTTGATGTCATCGTGGGCGCGCTGGTGGGCACGCTACGCTGTGTACCCTTATTCCCATCTGTGGTATTGGTGTGCGCCTGGGCCGTCTTGACGGGAGGCTTCTTGGAGAGGGTGCGGCCTGAGTCCCGCTGGGGCGGCGGGCTCAGCGAGTGGGGAGACACAATTACGGCGGGGAAGGGCGTGTGCGAGGCGGATGGATGCACTTCGTCGATACGCGCGAGCTGCAGGAAGGGGTGCAGCAGCAGCTGGGGCGGCACGTGGGCGTAGTCGGAGTGCGGGTGCAGTGGGTGAGGAGGGAGCGGTAGGGGTGAGTAGGCGGGGGGAGAGAGGGCCGCCGACGAGGGTTTGGTCCGGCGAGGGTCGGAATGAATGAGCTGGGGATGTTGAAGGTAGAGATATTGTGGGTTGTTGTGGCGGCGGTCGCTCATAAACTTTAGTGGGTGCTCACTGGCTATGGCAATGGCGGTGCTCGGGGAGGGGCTGCGGCCGCTCGAGGGCTGGGGCTGCGGTGGGGAACAGAGAGAGATGCTTCCAGAGCAAGTGAAGGCAGCGGGCTGGAGCGAAGGAGGCCACGGTGAGGGCGTAGTCGGAATTCGGCGTCGTGAGAGGGTGGTGCGTGAACCCCTGCCGTGAGAGCCTTGTCCGCACTCGTCGCTGCGAAGGTGCTAAGGGATCCGGCGTCGACTGTGGTTCCGCCGGTCAGCGCTAAACAATGGCGGGATGCAGACGCAGACGGGAATCGAGGCACTGCAGACGGCGGGCGGAGCGGTGCAGAGGACGAGGTCGACAGTCTGTGAGGTTATGTGCAGTGCAGCGGCATGCATGGGCATGGGCATGGGCATTTGGGCCACACCTAGGTCCTAACGAGGGATGAACGCACAGGGCTGCCTCTAATGCGCTTTGGGACGTGTGACGGCGACAGGGGCGCCTTCTCCATGGACCATAGAACACGCCATGTAATCTATCCTCTGCTGCTTCATGGCGGGGGGCTGCCCGATGTCTTTCTGCCAGCTTGGTCCTCCAGGGCTGGCTCGTCTACACCACCACCACCACCATCACCACCGCGTCGGTGGCCTTCTCCGCGCCCAGAGCACAGAACAAGGGAAAAAGGGAAAAAGCACAATCCACGCCACACCGTCAGCCGTCATCAGCCCTGGCCGTGCTGACCGTGCGGAGACGGTAGTGTTCAACGGGCCACTCCGCCGTGCTTCTACGCTACATGGCAGCTTCCTGTAGAGCTACGGGACTCGGCCAGCAGTTGGCGAACTCCTGTTAAGCTGCAGCATAGGCGTCTCCTGTCTCGTGCAGGCCGTGTCATAGGACATGACGCCTACTCGTGAGATTGTAGGGGCTAGTTGCATCGCAGTCAGACCGCCCGCTATGTCCTCTGCCTCGGACATTGTTCACCAACCCTGTGTCACCGTGTATTATTTCTGGACTCGTCCCATCTGCATCTGACCGGTATATCACCACTGGAGCAGACGCAGGGACAGCACCAACGGCGGCATTTCGTAATGACCAACTTGGAAGGTACCCGCCCCTCCGGTCCCAAGTATAGCCACCCGCCAGAGTCTTGATGTCAGAAGACGGACATTCTCGCGTTTGATGGACTTGTTTCGACGCGGCAAATTGGGGCTCAAAAATGGGCACGCAACTGGCTACGGGCGGACTCTGTTTCAGATGCCGACTTTCGGCTCATCACGTGACGGTCGTGCCCATCAAATCCACGGCTACGGCAGGCGCAAGGGCAAGGGGTCTTTTGGCTATGGCAGGCGCGTTGCACCGATGGGGAAGCGACTATGTCATTCCCTCCAGCCGAGGCATCTCCGCATGAGGCTTGCACACGCGCATCAACGATGGCATTTCTCCTCCCACGACCATCTGTATTGTTCGCCGCTCGTAAATCTTCTCTCCGAACATTTTCTTCAGCCATGGCTCAGCGACGTATCGGTAGGCGGCTTAGTGACATCTTGTGCGACAATAGCTGATGGACCATATAGCAAACCCCGCCCTCTTGTATGCAGACCACACCCGTGACAATTCCCTTCTAATATCACTACAGTATCTGCGATCTTCAAGAGAAGTTTCGTCCAGCCATTTATGAGTTTCCCAAAGTCGTTTCCACCGCACAAAAGTTGCTGAAAGCGAGTATGTTTCACATTTCTTGTCCAGCACCGTCGTCTCAACTCCAATAAGACTTTAATAGCACCCCTCTAGGCTCGCAACCCGCTGAGCGTCAGCCTGAAAGTCTCAGGCTGGCTCACCAAAACCTTTCGCTACACTTTCCGCCCCGCATGCTTACTGCTGACCAACCCTTTTAGGCAAATTACTGAACATTCCAGTCTTCGCGACTACTCAGAACAAAGGTAGGTCATGGCTGTACGAACCGTATGTGAGACATGTACTGACCTAGTCCTTCCGCCTCTGTAGCGCGATTGGGCGAGACATGTCCGGAGCTGAAGCTGGATCAGCCGGATGGCATAAAGACAGTCTGTCATCTTGACAAGACATTGTTTTCAATGGTGTAAGCTACAGCACGAGGGATCTGTGCGTCAATACTACTTGCTGACTCATGGTAGAACACCAGAAGTCAAGCAAGCACTAGACTCGCTCAACGCCTCCGGTCCACTCTCCTGCATCATTGTCGGCATCGAGAGTCACATCTGTGTCACTCAGACCACACTCGATCTCCTCCGGGCCGGACACAGGGTCTATGTCATTGCTGATGGCGTAAGCTCGTGTAATAAAGAGGAAGTGCCGATCGCTTTGGCGAGGCTACGGCATGAAGGCGCCGTGGTGACCTCGAGCGAGAGCTTCATGTACGAATACGTCGGGGACGCTAGTACACCCGAGTAAGTGGAATCGCAGTGTCGAAGGGTCATCTACTATGGACTAGGTGGGCTAACAATAAACAGATTCAAAGAAATCATCAAGGTGGTCAAAGAGACGTCGCAAAGCACGAAGGAGGCAATGCAGACGCTTTGTAAAATCTGAGATGATCGTTATCGAATTATTACATCATTATCATGTCAATACCACTTCCAGTAGCTACTCTACGAGTTCATGTCCTTGAATAAAGTAAGCCCGTTCCAACTACCTGATGCGTATCACTCGCAGATTTCTCTCTGCAATTGGAATCTCTCCAGTTTCGCGGCTCGGCACATCCCAAATTCATTCCCCCGGGCTATCTTCCTACATCTCTCGACCATTGACCGGGAGCATACGCAAAGCCACACTCTTTGTCTCCCTCGTCTTAACGACCCCATTCCCTGATGGCTTGCCGGTCTGTTCCGCGTTTCCCTTCCCTCCCATACCTATGGCAAGTCTCCTTAGTATCCTTCGTGGGGTCACGACTGGGTGAATCTGCACTGACCCTTCACATGCCCCCATGCAGTGTGACACTGGGTCCGGACAAGCATTTTGCCTTGATACATGTGTCCCCAGAATATACTACATTCATTACCTCGTATGTAGATTACACCGCTGCAGATAGACTTTACGGACTGGTTTTGGCACAGACAAGCGAGATTGAACATTGTCGACGAGTGGTGTTTGTGATAGCGCATTTCAAGTCGAGGAAAGAGATTATCGAGTTATTTGGGCCACTGGGAAAAAAGACCTTCATAGGGATATGCCATTCCCTATTCACGAGCACAATGTTTCTGTGTTGTGAAGTTCTGATGTCTGCCAAACCCTGTGCCAGCACACACATCTTAGTCGCCTGGAGAGGGTGATGCGTTTGAGTTGAAGCATTTCGTTGCAATATAGCGCGAAATTTTCTCTGTCGACTTTGAAAGACGCTGCCTTCTATCCCGATTGGAACAGCCCGCTCTATGCATTCTTCACTCATATATCCACGACTCGTTCTTGCGTTCAAGATAGATCGCGTCATCTCCATAACCTTGAACCTTCCCTTCCAATACCTCATCGATTACTGGTGTCTTGAAACCATATCGACCCCAAAAGTCTCCTGTGCCATAGACGGAAACAAGGCCAGTAGTTGCGAATCGCTCAGCAACAGTTTCCAATATCTCATGAAGACACTGATTCGCGAGCCCATATCCACGGAACTCGGGCAGAATAGCCAAGTCATGGATGTAGTACTGATCCGCATCCGGCCTGATTTCGCCGAGGAGCTGATTTAGAGCTGGAGGCTCGCAGTTGCGAATTGGATGCGAGATGATATATCCGCAAATTTCGCCGGTTTCGTCAAAGAGACCTTGGCAGCCTTGCGGGAACAACCTGGCGCGTTCTGCGAAGACTTCGTCGCTTTCAGGGAGGTCGGGATGGACCTTATCAGCTACTTGAACGAGGCTGACAATGTCGCCGGCGGATAGCGGACGCCATACTGCTTTGATCTGAATTTTCGCTTCCATTTTGCCTTGTCCGACTGTGACGCGCTGTTTGAAGTTCCCGAGGTCTTATCGTGAGGTGCCCAGGTGTAGCCACGTACGAACTTGGGAACACCTCCGCAAAAGGGTCTCGGCGTTAACCAAGATGCATACACAAGTAAATCTTTTTAAATGAGTCTAATAGAATACTCATCTGAGATCCGCTGTTTAGATGCGGCCTTGGTGTACATGGAAAGGAGATGCGCATTTGCTGCCGATAATGACGGAGTTAACTTCTAGGCAGGTTAAAGTCCGTTCTTAGTACTATGTTCAAATGGTGTTCCCTCACCCCGGGATCGTCACATTTTCATTCTCAGTACCAATTAACATCATACAATTACCCCTCTATCTCGTACAATAGTCAATAATCCGAGTAGCAGCACTATTGTTGTAAGTTTAACGTCAACGACGAAATGGAAACTTGTGAACTACCCCGTTATTTTCTTCAATACAGCACATGAAGCGGCAAATGTCAACGAAAAGAAAGAGTGGTTGCGGTCGCTCATTGAAAGCCCTAGGAAAGCCCTCAACTAGCTCCTCATCCAAACAAGATGTGGCATCCTGCGAGATAAGGACGAAGAGCAGTGTCGACAGCATAGCGACTAAAGACCCCACCAGGTCAACAGCCGATGGTCCCGTTACTTGCGGTTGCAGCATCGTTGTTGCTGCTCCCTGATCATGGAGAGCTGCTGGAGATCTTCAACAGCGACAAAGGATGTTACTACTGAGCTAGTGACGCCTCCGTCGTCGGGTCGTGTCAGCATTTGCAGCTCCACAATTCGGCTCGGCGAGTAAAGGCATTCACTGTATGTGTGGACATACAAATGGGAGAATGAGTTGCCTGGCCGTCAAAACCTCGTTCTACATAGTCCGTCACTCAAGCCTCACTCTTTTTCAAGCGTTCGACATGCTAGTCCCTCACGGTTTCAGCAACGGTTCGTGGCGACATCCCGATGCTCAAGATATACTACCTAATCGCACATAGCGCCAGGTTGTATGCGCCTCTGTAGTTGTGCATACTTGTGACCTCTGATCCGCCCAACTACGTGAGCGAGGAGTGTTTGTGTATGGGTCACAAAGTTGATCGATAAGTATGAGAGTAAACCATGCGTGATGGAGAAAGTATGTTAGCGTGAGATTCGATGCGCGCATAATCATCCAATAACTCTGGTCACGCTAGTCACGAAAAATTCACACGACAAGGGCAAAGAACGGCTACATTGGTCTTCTATCCAAGCGAGCTTAATTCTATATTCGACAAGAATAGTTAGAAAAGTCGTGCTTGCTAACGCTATCTTAAGTCAGTTCCGACTTTTCTTTTCAGATGCCATAGAAAGGAAGAAGTTGGCAAAAAAAAAGTCACTCCAGCTCGAGCAAAACATACAGAGGCGTACGCCACGCTGGCCGAGGGGATAGCCGATTGAACGACGATGAAGCAAAGTGTAACCAGACGAAGAAGCGAACAAGGTATGGGATATCAATAGAACAACGAATGTGAGAGTGAATAGTCGTGAGAAGAAAGGAAAGGTGATAGCCCGGAGCGAACTGCGCATGTAGGCTTGCCACAGAGACGCTGGAATTTGATGATGGATCTTTCTTAGAGGAGCTTCCATGCTCATTGATCTTTGGAAGGACGGAGTTAGCAAACGAGATGTTGAAAAGCCGCTCGGCTACGTCCCGAAACGTAGACGTCCCATCATTCGAGTTCAGCAAACCATGCATCTCCGCTCTTCACTAGCGATCACCTCGACGAGGTCTGAGCCGCAGCAATCTCAGCAACTTCATCTTCCGGTCTCATCCTCAAGCCGCCTTCGACCTGAATGCCTTGCTGGACCCAGTCCAGCTTCTCAATGTCCTCCAGGCTCTTGCGACCACGTGAGGCCTTCTTCAACAGACCCTCAACGCACTCGCGAGCGCCAGCCCACTCGTTGCCCTTCTCCGCATCCCATTCGCCGTCTTCGTCACCGAATTTGACCCAAGACCAATCGCATCTGGCGATACGGTGAGCGGCCCTACTACGAGACGCGGCCTTGCCTGGCGGTGGATCAAAGGGCAAACGTCCTTCCATGAGAGCATAGAGTAGGACGCCAAGCGCCCAGGCATCAGTTGAACGGCCGTCATATGGCTGACCGAGGAGAATCTCTGGAGCAGCATAATCTTCACTACCGCATCGTGTTGTCAGAAGAGGCGACTCGGGAGGAGCGGGGATGCGTCGTGAGAGGCCGAGATCCGTGAGAGTCGCTATGGCATGCGGATGGCACTGTGGGTTCTTGAGTAGAGGCACGGTAGACACAGGAATATTGAGAAGAACGTCTGGATGTCATTAGTACAGAGTAGAAGCGAAGAAACGTACCAGATGAACTGTGGCAAGGTAAGGAGAATGGAAGCAGTACTTTCTAGCTTGATGTCGCGATGCACGATAAGTTGGGTATGCAAATAACGCACAGCGCTGACCATTTCGGCGAAGACACGATGGACGATGTCGAGAGTCAGCTTGTCGCGATGGTCACTGGCTACATCAAACAGATCACCACCGGGACAGTAGGTAAGCACAATAAGAGCTTGGGCGTCATCGTGATCGAAGGCTTGGAGATGGACAAGAGACGGGTGCGATACTGATCGGAGCATTTCGACCTCTCGCTTGAGGCTTAATTCTACGCGCTCTTCGTCGGCACCCCCGGCAGGGCCATGCTCGACGACTTTGATGGCGACCAGTTTCCGTGGATCCAAAACGTTCTCATCGAGAGGGTCCTTTGCCTTGGTCTTCTCACAGGTTGCCAGGTAGACTTTACTGAAGGTGCCCTGGCCCAGTTGGCGGACAGGGCGCCAGAGCTTCTTCGTCTTTTGAGGGCCACACCGCACCACTATATATTGAGTCTTGTCATCTTCGGTCACGTCGTCTTCCTCGGTGTCGGTAACACTGCGGTTGCTTGCGTTGCTCGCGGGAGGGGTGGGAAGGCCGGCTGGCACATTGGCGGGGACGAGGCCTCTCTGCGTGGCCAGATATGTCTCGCGGTTCATGCGCTGTGGCATGGCGGGGTCCGTTTCCACCACCGAGACATGCCGAGGGCGGGTGTTGTGGGTTGAATCCGGGGTATACTCGCTGATGCTTCTGTTGCGTTCGCGAGCGGCCTCGTTCCTCTGCTGGGAGTTTGCGGCAGCGGCCTCGATGGCAGCGGCCTTGAGCCCGGAGTAGCCCTTCTTCTTGAGCGAGGGCGAGGGCGACAGGGTGCCCTTGGCGAAGATGGCGAAGGCGTCGTCGCGCGAGGCGCCCGAGATGCCGCGCGAGCGAGGACGATGGTCGGCTCGCTGCCATGGGCCGGGCGAGTCGCCCATGACCAGGGGCGAGGGAAGCGGGGTGATGTCGCCCAGCGCAGCCAGCGCTGGCGACGAGATGGCGGACGAGGGCGACAGCGAGCCGAGACTGGCAGTCGACCAGGCGGTCCTCAGATAGCCGCTGTCCTGGATGGCAATCGGCGCCGTGGCCGACTGGCGCAGCGCGTCGCTCCCGTTGGCCTCCAGATTGGCGGGGTCGAGGGAGCGTGCAGAGTTGGGGTTCGAGGCGATGGCGAGGTCCGTGTCGAGCTTCAGTGCCGTCGACGGGGCGCGGACGTGATATCTGGGCAGCGAGGGATCCGTGGCGGCCGTGCCAGTCGCGACGTCGGCCGTCGTCAGCGTCGATGTCGCCTTCGCGGGCGCCGGGGGCTGGAGGGCAGTGTCTAGCGTCGCCGGCGTCTTCTGCGTCGCCCCTTCACGTGCAGGGCTGGAGGACGCGAGATCCTCCATGGTGTTGTGTCACTGCGGCAGGCGGTCCAGTAGTCTGTCTGCCGGCAATGCTACCTCCGCCGACGTAGACCTCGATGCGTGGACGTGCGCCTCCGCTACCCTTAGCGCTTCTCGTCCCAGCCTCGCTCCCATCCCAGCACAATGGTCCATGGCACCGACACCCTCACTCCGCCCCCGCAGCCACTGGCGACTTCGACCTTGAGGCGTGCCGTCAGTCACCAAAGCGACAGGGGCGCTCTTGAGGCTCCGAGTCAGCCAGCCAATCACGAGCGAGCCTCCGACAACGTGAACTCGCCCTCTCGCACGGCATGTCATGCTGAGTCCGATCGCGAGTGTCTACCAATTGACTCCAAGCGGCATGATATCGAGTCTCTCGTCGTCCACATGTTGGGAACTCGGCATGGACCTGGCGTTCCCAAAAGGAAGCCTTATATCCAGCCTTACTTACCTTTCGCATCCTGCGACTGTTCGCTGACATATCCTTTCATCTCATCCTCTCTTATGGACGTCGTTGGACCGCGGCGGCCGTTCCCTTCCAGAGTCTCCATCTCCGCTGCCACCCATGCTTTCGTTTGGACGAGTCGGAAATGCGGCTTATCGAGATGTACCCGGAGTCTATGTACGTGCCGGTCCTGGCCCTACTCTCTTCTTTTGTATCTGACAAGTCTGTCAGACACACATTGCCGACCCCAATGAGCGCCGGCGGATGGCCCTCGCCGAGGTAGACAAGGCGCCCTTCGGCTGGTATCATATACGACTAGCAGTCGTGACAGGCATTGGTTTCTTCACCGATGCGTACTCCGTGAGTCTGAAAGTAAGATCAAGGACAAGGCTGAAAGTTGACTAACAATAGATTCAGCTGTTCGCCATAAATCTAGCTGTCATCTTGCTAGGAATTGTGTACTGGCAAGATGCGGAACACCAAGGAGTCATGCCCCATGATGCCGATACAGCCATCAAAGTCGCTACGTCCGCCGGCGCTATCTTCGGCCAATGCATCTTTGGGTACTTGGGCGATGTTCTAGGAAGGAAGAAGATGTACGGAGTGGAGCTGATGATTATTATCTGCACAACACTCGCACAATCGCTTTGTGGTGAATCAGCGACCCTTTCCATCGTGGGTGTGCTCATATTTTACAGAGTTGTAATGGGAATCGGCGTCGGTGGTGACTGTACGTACACGTTCCATGCAAGAGGTCCATATCATCATGCCGATGATACGCTAATCAATATCAGACCCGCTTAGTGCAGTCATCACGGCAGAATTTGCCAGTACCAGATACCGGGGAGGCATCATCGCCGCCGTTTTCGCCATGCAAGGCCTCGGTCAACTCGCAGCCGCCTTGGTAACTCTCATCGTAGTCATAGTCTACAAAGACCACTTGATCGTGGTAGCTAACGTTGGGGAATGCGTCGGGCAATGCTCCATGCATGTTGACAAGATGTGGCGCATTATCATCGCTTTCGGTGGAATTCCCGCCTGGTTCGCGCTTTACTACAGACTCACAGTACCGGAAACGCCACGATACACGTTTGATGTGCTGTACGATGTTGAAAAAGCCTCACTTGATGCGCGAAAGTACCGCTATGGCAAGCAGGGTAACATGGTCAATCCAGTGACACAGGCGAAGACGCGTAGTGAAATGGCCAAGTACAAGACGCCGCGGCCTACGTTGATGGAAGTACTGCGATTTTACTCACGCAAATGTCAAGCTATCCGCCTATTCGGCACCTCTATGTCCTGGTTGTATGTGCAGCAATTTACTACTTAGCTATAGAATAAGCTAACATCCAGACAGTTTTTTGGATCTGGCATTTTATGGTCTCGGTTTCTCCTCTGCATCACTAATGTCCACGCTGGGCTTCGACCAACGCGCAAACCTCTACCTCCACCTACGCAACATGGCCACAGGCCAAATTGTGCTCATCTGCGCCGGTGCCCTTCCTGGCTACTGGCTCACTGTCTTCACCGTCGACACTATAGGCCGCAAACCCATTCAAATCGCCGGGTTCGGAATCCTAACCATCATCTTCTGCGTTCTTGGCTTCGCCTGGCAAGGCCTCACAAAAACCCACTTACTAGTACTATACGTCTTAGCACAATTCTTCTTCAACTTCGGGCCCAATGCCACGACTTTTATAACGCCAGCAGAGATTTTTCCAACTAGAGTACGATGTACAGGCCATGGGATCAGCGCAGGAATGGGCAAGTTGGGCGCCGTGTTCGCACAGATTTTCTTCGCGCCCATGATCAAGAGGGGGGCTACGCATGACAATCCTACGCCTTGGATCCACGGTGTAATGCAGATTTTCGCGCTCTTCATGTTCCTGGGTATGCTTACCAGTTTGCTTGTTCCAGAGTCGAAGAGAACAAGATTGGAGGAATTGGCTGGCGAAAAAGAGGGCGTGTATAAGTTGCAGGCTGGCCAGTGGCGAAATCGTAGGGGTGTTACAAGCGGAGGGACTGTGGATGCGGAAGGTGTACTAGGAAACACTTCGGTGGTTTTTGCGAGGGGAAGCGGAAGTGCGAGTGCGAGGAGTGCAGATCGGGATAGTGAAGGGGGCTTGAGGGAGGGTGACATGGACAAGAAGTGGTGGAGACACAGATAGAAGGAGGTTTATCATCATGCTGTTTGATTGTCTTGCTGAATAAAACCTCGTCTTTCTTTCTTTAGACTTACGATACTATGGGCTGACTCGGATACCTGTAGAACAGAGAGGCCGAACTGACAATACCCGCATAGTTTCTCCAATCTATGTACAATTCCATGTCAGTTCCTTGCGAGCTAGATACCCTTCCGTCGATTGACATGAGTTCTGGTCACCAACCCACTTCCCGGCAACGTATCTGTTGATCTTGCATCCAGAGTTATATGTATCCGCGTTACAAAGGGAGGCTAGATAGGCTAGCACGACTCCATTCGACATACATTATCTTATGTTACCTTATGGTGTTTCTCGTGTTGCGCCTCTTCTCTTCTTACAAGGCGTTTTTTTCTTGGTGTTTACTCAGGGAGAGCTTTAAATCCTTAACTTTGAATGTGTTGTAATGTCGATCCGAGTCGCTCGCACAGCTGCGGTGCCACTGAATTTCACGTGCTTCAACTACAGTGATGGTGACGGTGACATAGCTCGTGATTCCGTTCTGGCAAAAGACGCACCTCACTTGCTCTTTCCTGCAATGCGACTCTGACGTCGAGGTTCGGTCCACGTACCCTAATCAGGCGTACTCCTCGATGGAAGCACCATCATAAACAAGTGTCAGTCTACGGGCAGCACAAGGCCCACATGCGTGATGTCAAGACTGTCGAACATGCTCATGTCCCTCTTGAAATTTCCAGTAACGCCTCAACCTCCTCTTGACCCAGCTTCCGCACGCCCTCCACACCCACCAACCTTTCGCCCACCTCGTCCACAAACCTCCCCCCAACCTCCTCAACGCTCTGTCCCTCCACACCCTGCCTCTCAAAACTAGTCGTCCTCTTTCCCTCCAACCCACACGCCACAATCCTGTCAAACCACCATAAATCCGTATTCACATTCAGCCCCACCCCATGGCTCGTGACATTCCTCCGCATATGCACACCAATGGCCGCAATCTTATCCTCTGGACTCGTCCAGACACCCGTATGCTCTGTTGTCATGGTTTTGATACTGTATTTCGCACAGGTAGCTATGAGGCTTTTTTCTAACAAGCAGATATAGTTTCTAGGTGTGAGTTTATGGGTGCGCAGGTCGATGATGGGATACGCGACTAGTTGACCGGGGCCGTGGAAAGTGGTTTGGCCGCCGCGGAGGGCCTCGGTGAAGGAGGCGCGGTTGTTGGCGCGGAGATAGGTTTGCTGGTCTAGGGAGACGTTGCCGATTTCTCGTCGGCCGCATGTGTAGATGGGTGTGAATTCAGCGGTTATGATGTGTGGTGGTGGTGGGGACGCATTGAGTGGCGGTTTCGAGGCGAGGAAGCGCGATACGAGAGATTCTTGGAGGAGGGCTGCTGTTGCGTAGGAAACAAGGCCTCGTAGGTGGATGTGGTGCAGCTTCTGCGGGATAGAGCTTGCCATTATTCTCGTCGCAAGCCTTCCAAGATGGGGGGTCTGGGGTCTGGGGACCTTTGTATCGACTTATCGATAAGGTTTTGTAACGCGACGCGACGTGACTCTGCGACTGCGAGGACTTTGATTGCATCTTACGCACAACCACGAGTGCCTGCTCTACTCATCGCACTATCATGGCAGGGATCAAGCGATCAATCAACGGACAAGTCAAACCCCAGAAACAGCCTCAACAGCCGGAAGATGTAGCCATGACAGATGCGACACCACCATGTGGACAGCCGCAAGCACCCTCCAGCAACATCACCTCGTCCGGCACCGCAACAGAACAGCAGACGAACCCACCAAAACTAGCGTCTCACACACATAACTCTCCCTCAAAGTCTGCGCTAGCGAAACAGCTTTCCAGCCCTCGCTCTGCAACCCATAAACCCCGCCAAAAGCTCGCCAGACTGTCCAAAAGTACGTAGACCCCCTTTCACATACGGACCAAATCTGACAAACTTCCTAGACACAACAATAACCACCCGGCCACTTCTCCACGCACCTGTACCAACTCCTTTCTCCTCATCTGCTTCCCCAAAAGCCCTATACATCACCGCCACGTCACCGTACGTACCCGCACTGAAGCGGATCCGGAAACTACTCACGCAGATAACCAAGCGCGAGAAGCAATCTGCCTTGTTGTTGAACAAGATGGGAAGAGGAGGAGGAGGGAGAAGCGGGGGACGATATGCGCAAGCGAATGGACGCTTAGAAGCGAGGGATGTGGAGGCTGAGATAGCGGGGGCGATGGTTAGGGAGGGTAGCGACGGCCGTGGTCGGAATAAGGGCGGTGCAAATGGTGTAGGTGAGAGTGGGAGTAGACACGGGAAGCGAGAAGACGTCCATCTTAAAGCGACGGGGCGGGCGATACCAAGGGCGTTGGAGATAGGATTGAATTTTCAGGGCGAAGAGGATTGTTGGGTTAAAATTGAGATGGGAAATGTGAGTGCGATTGATGATGTTGAAGTTGGGAATTGGACAGCAGAAGACAAGGATGGGGAAGATGGGATGGGCCAAGTAGAGGAGGATGCAGACGATGTGCCGGAGACGAGGATACGCATTTTGAGTTCCGTCACTGTTACTATTGGCTTGAAGTAACGTAGTTCCCACAAGTCACGACGGTCTTGTTTCACTAGCGTGAAATAGATACCCAGGCAGTTCATAAGACGTTTCGCTAGTCAAGTTTGTGTCATTGAAGTGTATGAGAAAAATCTTCTCCGATTGCTCTCCTAATCCCAATCTCTCTACCCGCCTATCATCGTGGATCCCCAATTCCCAAGCCAGTGAAAAAAGGAGATGGAAACGAAAAGCTAGTCATGTTTACAAAAGAAAAGGTTTCATCGCTCGCTGACCGCAGTGAATGACTGTTTGGACTCGAAAGAGTCCTGCAATGCTTTCCACCCTTCCGAAAGAGAAAAACGCCTGGAAGGTCAGAGGCTGACACTGTGAGTCCTGAACGCCAGTAGAACGAAAGATACAGATGCATTACCCGTTAACTACGCCAAAAGGAAAGAGTGTCTGCTGTGGTGATTCGGTATAACGGTATTTCTCCAGCCGCACTTGTCTCACTTGAGACAAGTGCGACGACATGTATAGTCTGGGTAGCTGTGTGGGTGGCTCTGTTGCGGAACATTTGCGATCAGTCACGACAGAGGCGCTTCCAGTATACAAGATTGCGTCGCGAACAGCCTAACAATAATGTCGCTGCAAGTCATCCATAAGGAGGCATTGTAGTGTAAAGCTGCGATGGCCTTGATGAGAAGGACTGTAGTCTGGCATCGGCGTATAACCCAGAATTCCGCGCGAGCAACATCTCAAGCGTTGGCGCTCAGTATGCTCTTCCGGGGCCCGATCGCTGTGGTGGCGCTTCACAAAGCCAGTCTTTCCTAGCATAGTGATAAAAGACTTCGGTATTTGTCTCTTCAACGTTCCGCCTTGGGATACTGGTTGAGCATGGCCATGACCGCGACACCTATTGCAACGACTGTTACCATGGCCCCAACCGGACCGCCATAGTACATGGCATCTCGATCGGGCCGGTGGGCAACCAAGGAATTCGCCTTCCCTGACTGCTTTGAACCATTTAGCTCAACAGCATGTCCGTTTTGTTCCCTCGTATTGGGAAGTGATACTTCTGGGCCGTCTTCGTCAAGATCCTTCTCTCTGATGATGGTGATTTCGCCTTGCTCGGCCTCACCGTCTGAGCCCTCAACGCCAGTCTTACTACTCGCTTTTACGGATGCACTGGTGCTTCTGCTCCGCCGTCGAGCTTCCTTACTAGCGGTCTTTGCATTGTCTTCCCTGATGTTTTCGATCATCTCTGCCAAGGTCTTGCGATCGGCCTCTGCTGTCTCGGCTCTTTCCCGGTACCGCTCCATTTGCTGCTTCATCTCATTCATCTCGGACATCATGACCTCCAGGCGTTGCTGTAAGCGAGCAGTGGCGTCCTCGGCGCTGGTAGGAGATGTGGGCCCGTTATCTGAGTCAGTGAACTCTTCGTGCTGTGTATCTGCTGCCTCGGTTTCGGGCGTCTCATCGTCGCCAAGGATAGTCTCTGTGTCTCCGTGATCCTTGGTTGTCTCACGCTCGAGGCGGGCTGCTCGCTCTTCTGCGTCTTCCCTTGCCCGACGCTCTTCGTTCAACAAGGTCTCCAAGTCACGCAGTCGCATGCCCTGCGTTTCGATCTCTTTCTTCGCACTAGTCAAGGCCTCTGTGAGTGTAGACAGCTGTGCATCAGAGCGCACCGGTGACGCTGTCTTTGGACGTTCGGTGTCGGACCTCCTAAGGGACGATGCGACGTCGGGCTTTTCGGGTAAAGGCTGTTGTGGTGGGGGCGCAGGCGGATCTGAAAATCTCGCCTTGATGCTGCCGTCTTTGATCGGCGATATTCTGGCCTGGTTGATTGGCGAGGCCTTTGCGGGTTCCTTCTTGGTGTCTGCGGAAAGGATAGCGTTGATGTAGTGGTGAGTCTGCTGGAGGTCCTGCGACTGCTGCTTTGCTGCCTTGATTTCGGTCTAAGGCTGTTAGAGAGGGGCACCACGAGTAGCGAGGTCGCACTTACATTGAGCTTCTTGACAACCTGCTCCATTGTGATGGGTTGTAGCCAGAAATTGGGGTGTCGGGGTTGCTGCATGCCGTTTGGGTAGTTGGCCATGGCGCCCGGGCCCGGGAGTCGCTGAGCGTTGACAGAGCCTTGGCTGGGCGTGCGACCACGCATATTCGCCATGTGCTGTTGGCCATTGGGGCTCATCATATTAGAGAGCTGTGGTCCTTCGAGCTCGCCAAAGTTGAGGTCGATCATCTCGCTGCTGGATCGTGCATAAATGCCCGCATGTTCAACGCGCGCGGCGACTTTGTGGTGAACGATGGTCTTCTGGTCTTCGCTGACAATGTCGATTCCAAGTTCCAGCATGTCCTGCTCGCGTAGCTCGTGGGGGTCAGAGTCTCTGTTCTCCTGCGACAGGCGGGAGCCGTTGACAAAGGTGCCATTCGACGACTTGACGTCTCGGATCCAGATCTTGCCCTGGCGGTCGGCCCAGACCTCGGCGTGTTGTCTCGAGAGGACTTTGGAGTCGAAGTATCCATTGAGTGGCGTGGGGATTGTCTTATTGTTGGTTTGGCGGCCAATGCGGAGGACGTCGGGGAAGAAGGGGACAGTGATGGTCTTGCGCTCAAAGGTGCCGTTCATGGGGACCAGGTGCAGTACAGCGGTGCTCTCCTGGGTCGAGGCGCGTTGTGCGCCGTTGGGCTGTTGCTGGGTCGGGACCGGGCCATTGTGCTGTGAGGGAACCATGGCGGAAGGTGCTTGCAGGGCGCTCATGGCCGAGGCGGCTGATGAGGCGGGGCCGGCAGAGGCGATGGGCTGGGGGCGTGCGGCAGTGATTCCGGCGATGGGCTCAGTCTTGGTCGCGGGCCATAGTCCCTTGGGGGCTTTTGCTTTGCGGGTGGCAGCCCAGTCGGTGCCGTTGGGCTGTTGGGGAGTGCCGTTTGGCTGGGATGCAGAGGACGAGGCGGAGAGAGTCGAGGTGCCCGACGCCTGGGAAGAGAGGCTCGACGACGAGTTGGACCGCTGGGCGCTCTTGCGAGGCATGAACATGCCACCACCGTTGGACACGCCCTCAGCGCTCCATGCCTGCCGATTGATGTTCTGGTAGTTGACGGGGGGCGCAACTGCCGTCATTGGCGACGTCGTGTGCGGCGGAGGGAAGGAGGTGGGCGTGTTTGGGTCCGGCGTCACTTTTCCTTTCCTGCACGATTCCCGTCTTGTCCGAATTTAGCGGCGCGACACCAGCGTGACGGCGCCGAGAGCAAGCGACAACAACAAAGAGGCCTCGCGATGCTGCCTATGCACTCATGCGTCGCGGTGGATGCCGATGTCCGGGACGGGCGTCGCGGGTGGGCTTGGGGGGTTTGCCGCCGCCGTCGTCGTCGTCTTCTGTCGTGTGCTGGGCGTGGAGAGCCCGTGCGACGTCGCAGCGATGCAAGGCGCTGCAGACAGGCGGAGAATGCAGCAGCAGCGTCTCTGGGATGGGTGGGTAGCAGGCGAGGCCACGGGACGGGCTGCGTGATGGTTGGGGTGGGCGGTATAGATGGAGGAGCGTGTTTCGACGAGCAGGAGGTCCTGTTCGGGCCTTGGGGACGCTGCAACGCTTACTGGCCAGCTGGGCAACACGACGGCTCAGGCGCAATGGCGTCGAGTAGGGGGCAGCACGGGCAGAATCACGACGCAACGAGGCAGATGCTGCTGCTACGTCCAACACGCGCGCGGTGGAGAGATCAAGCCGTGGTTGAAACTATTTCGCCTCATTCCCACGCCGCACCTGCAGCCCGCCAGTGAAGCCACCTGGGCAGTTGGGAGAGTCACGTGCGCAGCCCGGCAGCGTCGTGTCGGGTCGAGAGAGTCTGTCGAAACCACCAAAGCCTTATGTAGGGGCTGAACGCGTTGTATCTCTTGCGTGTCACTGCATCTGCTGACGTCGTGTCGACATGCCCAGTAGTAGCTTCCTCGTGCATCCATGGCTGCGTTTTCCCCGGATTTCGGTGGTTTCGTCTTGGCGTTGACTGAGCCGCGGCGGGCGAGACTGCAGCTTCATGTGGGACACTCAAACTTCCCCTCCTGCCTTCTCTCACTATCCGGCCTTTGCAGAGCTACAAGATGCCAGTCCCAGTCGGTTCAATGCCTCAAGGGGCGCATGGCCCTTCAACATTAGACAAGCGTAAGGCCCCGAGTTTGCCTGTGCCTGGCAATAGCTAACAGCACCTAGTGAAGATGGGTGGCATGATGGGTGGATGTACGGTTCGCACACAGACCAGGAAACGCATGCGCTGACCTCCTGACAGCCGTTGGCCTAATCATTGGCTTCATCTTCGGTTCGCCTCATCTCACGCCTTTGCATGCTCTTCTCTGACTCTTGTAGGCTTCACCAACATCGTCCGCTTCGGCCCTGGACCCAACGGAATGCTGCGCACACTAGGCCAATACATGATGGGGTCTGCAGCGACCTTTGGGTATGCATGGCTTATTTCAACTGCTCACGCTGCTATGTTCTGACATTTCTTGCAGCTTCTTCATGGCCATTGGCACCACCATCCGGACGGACAGCTCCGCCATCGCTACACAAGCTTTCGCCAGCGCTCACCGAAGACCCACGATCCTCCCGAGACCATACCAATACCCACGCGCTGCTCAAACTCAGAAAATCTGACGTCTTGATCAGTGGGCAGGTCATCAGCGGCGAGAACCTGGATCGGTCTAGCATTGTACAAGAGTAGTGTGCAGCAACTACTTTCAGGACTTGCGAATGTATAATAAGCAGCAGAGCAGCCTTACTGGCGGCACACGGAATTGAGCTGGCGAAGGCGAACGTGATTGATTGCCTGTAGTCGCCGTCTTTCCCTTCACTTTCACTTTCACTTTCACTCTTGGTTACGCATCCTTGGGGCTATTGTGGTCTGACCTCCTCCCCATTCATGATTGTCACTCGTTGTTTCTATTGTGGGTATCACTTCTCCCTCTTACCTGCGGGACTACGTACTTATATTTTCTACTTCGCCTGAGCCACGATAATTCTCTTTCCGCCTAACGCGAACGTCGCACCATCGTCTCATACAATGCCTTCACAGCAACCTCCCGCTCCCTCTGGTGCCCCCAGACCACCTATAACTTATAGCCGTCGATCCGCTACTTCACGCAATGCAGTTGCCATCAGCAACGTAGTCAAAAACGAAGCCAAGCGTGAGGAGACCCTCGACGGGATCAGTCTCGGCACCCACGGCGGTAATGACTTCTACAAGAACGCGGCACGAAGAGCCACCAACGCTGCACGGCAGAGCAGATCGGGAGCACACACCATATCTTCTTTGAAAACTGGAAAGAGCGCGGAGAAGTCAGAAGTCCTACGTCACGCGGGAAATCACAACGCCTGCGACGAAGAAGAGGAGGACATTGCAGAAGCTATTGCGCGCTATCTAGGCAAGACAATCGAAAAGCCCAACGTTATACACCCCTCCCCCTTGGTACATGACGACTCCGAAATTGCCGAAGCGAAGATCTTGTCGCTATTGGCAGCTTCTGAACCAGCGAAGTCTACTGCTAGGGCTAACTCATACGGATCTACCGGCAGCGGCCCTACGTCTGGTCCGACTCCGCCACATACTCCACTCCATGCTCTCCTCAACCACATCAGATCAGCTGCGAAGAACGTACAAGATCTCGACAGCGACGAGCTGGCCAGATGTACTCCTGAGCTGACATTCGTCATGAAGACTTGGCAGAACACCGTAGCCAAGGTTCTCTTCGCGACCGAGGCCGCCGAGCTCAAGCGAATCCAAGATATCCAAGGCCATCTAGATTACGACCAAGCTCTGGAGGAGAAGTGTCGAATGAAGTTGGACGCGTTCGGGAAGCAATGCGGAGCTCAAGTGCTACAGATGAAACAGGACCATCAAGAGGAGTTGATGAAGCAAAAGGAGATGTATGAGGATTACATCTCCCAAGACATGGCGAAGCCGCCTGCACCTCAGGCTCCAGCTTTAGTACCACCGGTGTTCGTCTTCACTGCTGGCGGTCGAGGCTTTCCCGAGCAGCAGCAGATGTCCTCGGACCCGGGCCCTCCGTCCGATGGGGGACCGGGTTGGGCTCGCAAGAGGGCTAGACTATCGTAAGGACGGGGTTAAATCTTGTGGCGTGGCGTGGCGTGGCGTGGCGTTCACAGATCTGCTTACGGTCTTGGACAGTAGCGGTTATACCTAGTTGCCGGTGACAGTGGCTTTGACTTAGATACAGATGAGCATTCCAACATACCCTAGAGCATATTGTGACCGTTGTGCGAGTCGATAACGAGGCTGATCTCGTAGTCTGGAGGTACTCACGGCGTCTCTCATAATCAAGACCTACCGCAGAGACTCGTGTATACCCCTGCGCTGCTGTGTTACAACGTACAACATGACGTAGAAACCAGGGACTACCTTCCAGCTATACTGTCCTTACGCTCAGCAATCCCCCTAACATAGTAAATGTCTGCAGCGTACCATCTATAAAATCACATCCGTACTGTACCGAGTGTGTCTGATCAATCTCACCAACGTATTGGTGTGGCTAGGTACCCCCGCAGTTGGTGTGGTTCCTTAGTTGCAAAACGCCTGGGGTTTCGCGGTTTCGGAAGACGCAACGAAAAGAATAGTGGAACGCGGCGCATGCCGTTCTGCGCATTTCGAAGCGGAAGCATTGTGGTTATTTACTTTGGGGGGGGGGGGGGGGGGGGGGTAAGTGAAATTGAGTCATTGGATGGAAATGGAGATGGGTTGCATGTCGGGCTTGCGCTAGCCACAGACCTGTATGGTCCGAGGATGCCTTCACTCTTAGATGCACACCTGTGTTGAGATTCATGTGGTGGCTCGTTAGATTCATGTGAAGATGACGTTCTTCTACTGTCGATTGTAAGATGACGATGGAGGAAGCAAGCAAATTGCGACCGACTTATCCTCTGACCGTACAATCTATCATCCTTACCAAACAGCCCCCGGTGCGAAATGGGGGTAGTGAGATCGCGTTTGACTTTTTTTGTGCTTCTTATGTCCAAAGCAAGGGATGTGAACTCAATGTTTGCGTAGCATGGCATGTGCATACCTATTGCCGGCGCGTCATCGTCGCGCCCGCCCGGGCCTCTATCATGCACGCCTGCCTACAATCCAAACAGCACAAACTCTGCAACCCGACGCGAAGAGCTGCACTTTTAAAAATCACGGCCCATGCGACGTATAAGGTCGCTGTATACTATAGCGGGCCGCCTCGCAGCTTCGTACCTGACGATCATAACAAACCAAACCCAGTCGGTATGATACCTACCTGTCAAGTCGAAAGTGCGTATTGGCGCCACCGGCGACAGCTTGGCGGCAACACATTGATGACACGGGCCAGATACATGCCGCCCGTGTCCCCCAGCGAATTCGCGGCTGTAAGACGATTCGGGGCATGGGCTTGCGAGTACTGCGACCCTTTTGGTTGCATCTCACCATCAGCCCCGCTGAAGGACGTTTCAAAGCAGCAACCCACCCATGTCGCGCCATCGTTGCGGAGCGCATCCGATGCACCTTGTGGCACATATCACCTTCTCATACCTCTAGTCTTTGGATGTTTTGGCACTCTTGCAATTCTTTTCCCCTCTCTATACATCTTTTGGTTCCTTCGTATGGCATATTGAAAGCTTTCGTGGCGTTGTCATCGCCATGGAGTCACGCCAATACATTTCTACATTTCCTTGTAGATGTTTATTGTCCGCGACAAAGTGACGAAATCCAGACGTCGTGCTTGATGCACCGACCTGTCCGTTTGTGCAATAGGTACGCACACCCGTGGTTGTTTACTTTACGTCCGTACGACGCGCGCAGACAATCATGACACTCAATGGCTCACAAGACGACAAGGCTCAGTCATAAAGACACCCCACGGCTGTCATAAGAACATTTGAAACACCGACCCAGGTGTTCCCCAAAGATAATATACACACATACGCGCACTACGCCATACACACAGGCATAGCCCAAAGCTAATTCCTAATCGTCGTCCTCCGGTCCAACAAACCCGGCAATGTATACAGCTATCGCACTCATAGCCCTCTTGCTCACCATCGCCACCACTACGACCACCATCTCAGCCTTACCAACACATCGTCTTTCCCGGCGCGGTCTTCCTGGTGCCTACTACACCTGCACTAAATCCAACTTCGCCGGCGAATGCAGCTGGACGCAACCCAACACGGAATGCCACATACAAGGCAGCCCCGGCGGTATCGCATCACTCGGACCCGATCAAGGCTCTACGTGCACCCTCTATCAGAACTTTTCGTGCACAGGCGACATTCTCCAGAAGCTGACGTTCCCCGGCATCGCAATCGGCATGCCCAAGTTTGGAAGCTTTAAATGTATTGAGCAGGGCAGCTCTGGTGGAGGCAGAAAAGAGGCGGAAGAGGCCGGAGTTCTCGCAGAGTTAGAGGCTGCGGATTTGACAGTCGAGGGTTTTGGTATCAAGAGTGTTGCGATGGATGGGAGGGAGGATGGTATGATTGGGTTGCAGAAGGGTGTTTACTATTGATTGCACTTTTTGTTCTTGAGGACGAGTAGTGGGAAGGGGGTAGTTGGTTTCCATGGGGTGCATGTACGATTATCATTTCTTCAATTCGTGTTCTTATCATTTGGAAGAGGGGTGGCGTCGCTGCCCTGAGGTTACCACTGATGGCTTTATGATTATTAGCCATACTCGGTTCTTTAAAAGTGAAAGCAGTCATGTATTACTCATTAGATACATTGATATTATTACTCACAACAGTCGTTGTCATAGTACTGTAGCTCTTTTCGATGCTGCGAAATGGCGCTAGCGACTACCAATGACGTCCCTAGGCCTGGAGGTCCCTGCATATAGTTTGGGCCACATTACCGCTTGGCGCCACATGTATCCCCACATAGACACCACACTCGCCGCCGTTGCAACGTCGCCTTGCTTCATAGACATCCGTAAAGTGTCCGAAAAGCAAAATCACTATACATAGACGTCAGCATGAAGCTCACCCTCATCCTCGCCTTGGCTACGGCCGCTCTCGCTGGCGAGATTGTCAACAACGAGGCAAGTAACACCCCCGAAGCTATACGACATGCATGGCGTACTAACACGTTGTACAGCACCTCAAGACTGAGGTCCTTACCGAAGCCAACTGCGTGCGCAAGACCAAGACCGGCGACAAGGTCAACGTCCATTACCGCGGCACCCTTGAGAGCGACGGCAGCGAATTCGACGCCTCATACAACCGCGGCCAGCCCTTGTCCTTCGCCGTTGGTACCGGCCAGGTCATCAAGGGCTGGGACCAGGGCCTGCTAGACATGTGTCCCGGCGAAAAGAGGAAGCTCACAATCCAGCCGGAGTGGGCCTATGGCTCGCGGGGTGCTGGCCCCATCCCCGCCAACAGCGTCTTGAGTAAGTGCTATTGGGACACATGGTGAATACATTGACTGATGTATGACAGTCTTCGAGTCGGAGTTGGTCTCCATTGACGGCGTTGACAAGGAGGAGTTGTAAAGGGTCTGAGATGGTGATTTGCACACACATAGTATTGTACATGTGAGAATCAACTCGAGGTTCCTGAAGGCAGGCTCGGCCTTGCTGCCCATAGCAGGTTCAACACGATGTGACTCATGTCAGTACTGACCGTGTCCTTCAATACGTCAGATCCTCAGCTTTTTGGCTCACTATCCGTCGAGTCTGCCGTCTAGACGAGATTCCTCTATTTCCAGCTCTGCGTAATTCTAGTTTCCAGTGGGATGCTATTGTTGAACATTGATACAACTGGGCCGGCTTGTAACTTCAACTTTGGATGTTCCGCACTTACCATAGCTCTAGTCGACGTTCTGCAAGCTAACGTTCGTGTCTTCCTAACTCTCCGCCAGTCTCATCAAAGTATATCCTGTTACGATCATACTGCAACTTGACAGACAGCGTGCACTAATCAGCACGCATTCCCCACACCAAACTTTCTACACGAACGAGCAAGATGCAATCCTTCTCCAATGCCTAGGTATCGTCCAGCATGCTAAAATCCTTTCGCCGCACCCACCTCCATACCCAAGCCCTCTCAGCAAGGTCAAAACCCCAGAAGTTCGCTCTGAGATCAAACACATGATCGTCATTGTAGTCGCAATCAACACATGCGCCTCATCCTTCGTCCAAGGGTCAAAGGCAAGAAGCCCATGACAAGAAGTCGAAGACAAAGGCGCAGGTAGTCGAGGAAGTGGACGAGCTTGACGCGTTTCAGAGGGACTGCGACGTTCTTCCACCCAGGCGAAGAAAAAAGAAGGCAGAACAAGGCAAGTTTTGTAAACCAGTAGTCTCTAGTGCAAATCTGTTTATCCGAGATCAAGGAAGCAGACGCGCTCAGCACACTAGACAAGCGGCTTTACGCTGCTCAGCTAGCGCTTGGTAGACCCATGCCTTCCATCAAGAACAACACAGCTATTGAGATAGCTGTGAGTGTGCTCGAGCAATAGTTCGATGGCTACAAAGCCAGCTATCAGTAGCTAAGTGCATTTGGACACAGTATTGCAACTCAAAAGGTACAGCGCGCAGATTCGCAAACTTAGCTTTCTCTTGCTTCTCAGAGCCTCGACGTCGCCCAGCGTATAGAGGTGATCAATTAAGCTTACCAGTAAGCGGGAAGCTCTACCTAGACATGATAGAGATGACCTCCACTCCAGCGACAGGACACTAGCCGCCATGTGTAGCCTACCAAGGAGAATAATGATGAAGTAACGGACGATGTAAGCCCGCTTTCATCCACTTACTACATGTAATGTTAAAACAAGACCAATTCTCTAAGCCTACGCCCACGCCAGCTCTCGTCCCAGCTTCTTTCCCAACAACCGCAACATACGCCACCTCCGGTTCGCGGATCTCACTACGCATTGTTAACTCTACGGAGCTGAACAAGCTGCATAGAAGAGAAAGTGGCCATATAAGAAGAATAGCTCCTCTCTCGCGCATAGTAGCAGCAGTAGAAAGTTCAGGTATCATTGTAATAGGTGTAGAGATTGAAAATGTTGTGCTGACGATACTTCACTTTTATCAAGAGGACCTAAATGTATAGGTACATATGGATTTGGGAAGCTGTGCATCGCTCGTTGCCATAGGTCAAGTGTACAATGGGATGTGTAGAGACTTAAAGTTTCGAAGAAGATTGGAAAGAACAAGGTATCTCAGGAGTCTGTGCAGTTGCGAAGGTCAGAGTATTCTAGACAACATCAGACTTAGCATTCATGTACAATTTAAACATAGCCTCCCATGCTAAAGAACGTGCCACTACTCTTATCCGTCATCTGCCTCATCATGTACAACTAGGAAGACGACGCTTCACTTAACGCGACGGCGAAGTGTCCCATTCTACCACTGTAGTCCTCATGATGTCTTTGTCATCTTTGCCTGCTGGATCCGAAATGCACTGCTTTTCACTATCCGCATCGCTGTCGGCTTTCCAACATGGGTTCTGGACGTTACGTGGATATGTGCCGTCGATGCCATGGGGTTGGAGCTCTATGCCATCGTGACTTCTAACATAGCCGTGCGAACGTGATTGTGGGAGCGACGACAACCTCGGCGTTTTCGGTACATAAGCTCCCTCGGAACGCTCTGTGTCAAAATAGGGTATAAAGCGACCCTTTGATATGAGAGATTAGAGATAATCGCGTGCAGAGGTATCGTTGTAGCTCACCAAGATCCATTTGATAGTCGGCCCGCAAGCAGCGATCACACCGAGATTACCCTCAACGCCTGTAAGTGCGTTCCTCACGTTGTAAGGGTCCTCGTGGGAGCCTTTAGGCAAGTTGAAGACGAGGACGAAGCGATGTAGTCGATAGCAGCCGATTGCTGTAACTGCAAGTGGGAGGGAGAGAAATACAATGACTTCCAATTTGACCTTCGAAGGCATACGGATATCGTAGAGCATCCATGCTGGAATCACTGCCACAAGAACATCTGTGGCAATGGTGACGGCGATCACACCGAAGATGTATTGTGCGTTGTTGTGGCAATGACCGGGAACTTCATCCCCCTTCCAGTACTTGTGGATGGGCTGGCATCGGAAGATGTGCGCAAGAAAGGCGGCGAAAACGAAGGCTATATTCACGGCAATCAGAATCCATATGCTCGCGACAATGAGCCGATTCGTTGAGCGTAGCTTTAGCAACGTGATCAGGAACGAGATTTTGACAAGACCAAGGATTTGGTTGTATGTCGCGTTGTTAATGTAGCGCCACTGGTAACGTGATTGTTAGTACAAAATGTAGCTACCCCACTGTTTGAGAGTAGTCGGACTTACGAGAAGCATTTGTTCCTGGTTGATAGCACCTTTGGGGATGTCTTCTGCGTGGTAGCCAGCATAAGAGACCACAACCACTAGGAAATGTCAGTCAAAGAAAACCGTCGCTCGGATCAGCGCTTACGTTTCCATAATGTTGCAGTGAGGGCTAGCAAGAAGCACTCAGCAATAATAAGAAGTACGTCCTCTGAAATAAGTTTCGTCAGCATTTACTTCACTTGACTCATGCGGAACAGTACCATACCGATAGCCAACTGGCGCTCCTTGATCTTCTTCCATGTTCTGATCGCCACGATAGTGGCAGACACAAGAAAAGGGAAAACTATAAGGAAGATATTCAATGGTTGAAGTCCGGTTCCCGCCATGATGTTATGGTGATAAAAAAGAGATCAGGGAAAGTATAACAGGAGGTAGATTCGTTCCAACTACCTAGATATACGAATTGCATTACTTTTCACATGAATTAGACTTCGGCGCAAACCACGCTGGTGGGCTTCACACCTGTGATGGAGTTCACCACGCCGCATTCCTTTGAGTACTGCATGTATATCCAGTAATTACATTGATCCCGTGTGGCGCCCCTGACTCGAGCAACTCAGGTAGTCTTCCGAATTCTCCGAGCCGTAGACGGCCCAAAGGTCCGTCCCTTCGACCCTTGTAGGAGTACTTGGAAGGATGATGTTCATGCGCAATAATAACGCAAACAGCAGGTCAGATTCCTCATTTGACCTTACGCACTGCAGATGCAGATCTTGAGCAATCCACTTCTTGCCGTCTGGTACCCCTCTTCCTTCTTGAATTGCTGAATAGGAGTACTGTATATGGGAGTACACCGGCGGTGCCGGACTTCCAAGGTTGTGTGGCGACTCTCGGTAAGTGGAGTGAACCACCTGCATGGTACCTAGGTAACCTTGGCAGTCATATACGACGCGGTTTCCACCAATAGACTAGTATCGTAGGATTTTAGGATGTGACGAGCCCGTGGACAAGCAGGTATGCAGTTGAGTGCTTTTGCCAAGCGCTTGGCAGCGTCGGTTGAGAAGTAAGGGCGGCCGTTAAGAGAAGATGCGACATGGCAGGGGATTGTTGAACGTGCCGACCGTGCCGCTAGGCTCTGGCGCCCGCGGCATCCATGGATCCGCCGCCCCTCTCAATGGCGGCCACCTGCGACTCTATGTGCAACCCATCCCACGCGTAATTTACTCTACACATGACCTTCTAGTCTACATTCCACTGGATACTACTCGGCTACGATAGTAACGTCGAGAATTCCATTTTCGTGGGAATGAAATCTTGGCTCTGGATTCTGCGTGGCGACAAGATTTCGTGCAATAAGCACTGCGCCGCAATCATACATGTGAACACGCCAGAGACGCATTTATCCTTCCTACGCCAAGCCACCTATGCCGTTCCTAAACGGACGAATATGCCATTGGATCTGCATGCACAGCTCGCTCAAACAGTACAATCGGCATTCTATAGCGGCTTGCAGATGTTGTGCTGCCTCCTGCTCCTTGCTGCTGGTGTAAAGACTGGGAAGTTTCCATTGGCTTGCAACTGCCGCGAGGCTGCCCCATGCCTCTGCGATTTGGAGCATGGACAGAGCCAAAACCTACCCCATTCCAGATCAAGAGTCAAGACCACGTTCTCCCCACAGGCCCGTCGACTTATCCCGGCGTCTATATGCAGTCCCTGCGTAACCTACCTGCGTCCCTTCGCTGTTATATCCCCGTTCGACACTCACTGGCTGACTCCACAGTGTGTGGCAACATGTAGAGCGCTCACACATGAATCATGGACCTCAGTCGAGCGGGAGAAACTGAAAGACCATTTACCGAACGGATAAAGATAAAAAAGATAAAATGGGAAGGTATCCTTTTGCTGCTCCTTCACTACATCTACCTCGTATTCACCTCTTGGCTTTCACCATGGCGTCTATGCAGCGGGTAACCACGTGCTTTCTCTTGCTCATTTCCCCGGCGGCTATCCTTGGCCAATCTTCTCCTCTTCCTGATGTCGAACCTGCAGCTACCTTCGTCCCGGCCGCTTCACCAGCAGGGGCACCACTTCAGGAATCCGAAAGACTGCAATTGACTGACGCGGTCATCGAGCGTCTCGCGACCGATGATGGGGTTTCGGAGTATGTCGAGTACTTCGCATTCGATGACAGCACTGCTGCCAGTGATGCGCGTGTACGACGTGCAGCCTCTGC